CTGAAGAAACAAGGAGCGGATTGATTGTTAATGGCTTTTTCACCAATTTATATTGTGTTCTACATACGCACAACAAAAGGTAGCTTATCTAATGTTGTCATTTTTTATTGTAAAAATGAACACACATGTTGCCTTTCACCTTATAATACCTCTGTGGAAAAACGCACTTTATCTAATGTTGGTTCAGTTTATTGGTTTAGGATTTAATTTTGTAGCAAGGGTTGGAGAATAAATTGCTTTACTTTCATTTGAAGAAATATACAAAACGACTATTATGTTGAGGTACTCCTGGGATTATGTATACACATATAAAAAAAAAGGCAAAATATAAGCAGCATAGGCCAACATGACTTTTAGTATTTTTAAGCTCCAAAAAAACATACAATTCCCATTCTGTCTTTGATTAAACCACCCCTAAATAACCACCAACTTCTTTATATCTTCCTTTATATCTAGCTGGTAACACGTATTTTCTGTTATAAATGTGTAGCCCCAAGCCAAAGCCTAAATGGCTGCTGTTACTATTGTTTGACAAACTATCTGGCTCACTGGTTTCCAGATATGGTTGGTGAGCACATGTACCTCACAATCTTATTCACTGAATCAAATTGTTGTTTGTGTAGATGTCTCAAGCATTCCCAATTTTGACACAAATGGGTCCCCATTTTTCTTCAACCAATGGGAAAAATATAGGGAAAGAAGACTAACATTTACTCTTTTCAGAAGATAATGTCATTTCATTCAGCTGAAGCTGTTATCCAAAGCGACATACAATAAACACAACTACTTGATACAAACTCAGAACCGAAACCTGCAGGTACATTCAATTCAAATAAACCGAACCATTGTAAGGGATGATGCATTAGTTTAAAATAGGCTTGCTCTTTTAAGTACACATTTTTTTATTTTTTTGTGTGAGGTTAATTGGCCAATGTGCATTCGAAACAGGTGTATTTTCAGTCTGCACTGAAAGAAGTGTAGACTTTCTGCTGTCCTGATATCAGTGGGGAGCTCGTCTGTTTTTGCTTTGTGCAAGACTGCACAACGTTTTTATCATCTGTCCCACACGTTTAGCCGATGTTCCGCATTTGATTGACAGTTGCCCGTCTAAAACTTGGCTTTTATCCAAGGCTGTTTAGAAAACAAGAGAGGATTATCACCATTACCTCAGTCAGATGTCAATCAATTATCAAATAAATGTATTTACTAATGGGTGGAGGGCGATTCCCAGAATGTTTTTGTGAAATGTTCCAGAACAATTTTTCAATCGCGCATGGAGGTGATTAAGCAACATTACATGTGAAACTCACAAGAAATGCTCATAAAGAAAATATCAATCTACGGATACATTGCTTATGAAACCAAAAGAAGATACCCAAATGTCCAAACTGTGAAGCACTCACAGACAGACAGGTCACCAGTCTGTGGTAGTGAGCTTGCTTCGGTCATCTTTCCAGACTCAGAGCTTGCAAGAAAAATATGGAAATGTTTATGTTGTTCTGGATGTAGGAAGGACCGGATCCTTTAACAACACCAAACGTACTCTTCTCCAAACTTTATGTCTCAAACTTTTCGTATCATCTTAAAGGTCACCTATTATGCAAAATCCACTTGTCATGTCTTTTATGACACATAATCATGTGTCCCCTCTGTGTGAAGAGATTCTGAAAGTTTCAGGAAAAAAGATTCTCTCACTTTTTGTCCTGATCCATTTATTAAAAAACTGAAAATGAGCTGATCAGATTTTGGCCACTTTATGATGTCATAATGTTTTTTTGGCTTGTGTAACCATTAGCCAATCACCAACCAAGGTTATCGGTTGGTTATTGGCCCCCCACCTTATCACCTGAATCTCCTCCTCGAGCACCATTGTGCCAAATATTTCTCAGAGGGGCGTGGGGAGGGGCTCCTTATTTTCATCTAAAGTAATCAGCACTTTTGAAACAGGGCTGAAACAGAGGGGATTATGGGATGCTACAATGGGTGATCTGTTTGGTGTTTGGAGCAAAACACTTTAGAGACATGTTTTGTATCTGAGAACTATAATATATTGATGAAAAACAGTATAATAGGGGACCTTTAAGTTTAGTGGAAGGACTGACTATGGTTTATACTGTTACCATGCACACAGCCTTGACAACACATTACTTGACAGCCCCCAGCCGTCTGTGTTACCAAGGACTACTGGTCCAATAGTTAACACTGTTAAAACAGCATGGCCTCCTTTAAAGGCTGTCAATACACAGAAGTTAATGGGATGAGACGGAACATGTTTAATGAACTGGACAGTGCAAAATATGTGTTATCACCACATTATTACCCTCATATATTTACAACTGGCCAATAACAGTGAGAGTGCTATTGATTTTGTTGGTGTTGTGAGAGTGGAAAGGCTGCAGCCAGTTCAGAGCTGTGGGTAAAGACTCAGTGTTTCATGTTGTGATGGCCTCTGATAATTACTGCACCACTTGTAGCGATTACCTTTAGAATTTAAAAAGAGCATGAGGTTAGGTGAACAAATTGAGCTGATTGAGTTGAGAAGGCAAAGAAACACATGTTCAGACTAATATATATTTGTTTTGCTAAGTAGGATAATATCCACATATTAACAGAAAACAGACTAAAAGGGTAAAAAGTAAAATGGCTACCTTCATTTTTAAGATATGTAAAAGCTTAAAAACGAAGGTTACTGCAACTCCCAATCCAATCAGCTGCAGCTAAGTAATACATATTAGCATGCTCAAATGGTGAACATGTCAGATATTAAAACTTCTCAGTTTGTGCATGTTAGCGTTGTCCTAATGACCAGGGTATTGTGGTGATGTGAGCATTGTGGTTAGTGCCTCAGTAGAGCCTTATAAACCCACTAACATTAGCTATAACACATAGCATGATATATTCAATGACAATCTGTGTTCAAAATGATTGTTAATTTGCAAAAACTCAAACCATTCATTAAGTTTTGGCTGTTCAGTAGTTAAGGATCCATTAACATTTCCTGAGGATATTCATGGTCCCCAGGTGATGATTCCTTTTGTGATAATGCCTAGAATATTTCGACCGTCAGGAAAACCTGACACTTTTATTGATGTGACATTGAGTTTACTCATAATTAAAATCATAGGTCTGGTTTTCATTCATTGAACACCCAGGTGAAACACCTTTTTTGTTAGGAAATATGAATTCAAACTAAATCAAAATACCATAACAACCGACTGATCTAACAATATAATATATGATAGAAACAATCACAGAGCATGTCTATTCTTGATATCTTATCATCCACAAAAAGAATGCACTGTTCTGATGTCTACACACGGATACATATTTAGCACCACTTTTGTTTAGTAGGGTGCCAAAGTTAGTGTCTGCTTTCTCAACAGACCTTGTTGATTACATATTTAGACTCACAGGCTTTCATTTAGTGTGTCCTTAGCTAGCATGAATAGGCCATAAAAGCACTAATCCTTCCTTCTTGAGCCTTTTCATTTCTTTGTATTATCTGCAGCTTTTGCTACAAACGCCTCTGTTACGACCCTGGGTCGTTAGGTCATTTGTGTTCAGGTTCAGGTTATTTATTTGTACCCGTAGGTAGATTCTGTTTGCAGAGAAAAAGACAAGGGTTCCATCCTGACACTAAAAACAAACACAAACAACAGACACATCTCTAATAAAAGTACAAGTATACCCAGCTCAACCAAATCATAAAATATTTTAAAAACATTTTAAGAAAGAAAACACTAGTACAAACATGGACATTCAAGATTCACAATTAAATAAAAATAGGCATCTGTGTGACGCTCCTATGATGTGTTAATTTGTGCAATAGCTGCTGGGATAAAACTGTTTTTATACCGCTTCCTTCTACTCCTTGGGACAAGTAACCTCCGGCCCGAAGGAAGAAGCTTGAATTCTGAGTGCAGAGGGTGGGAGTCATCGTCTCATATGGAGCTGGATAACCGCTTTGACTGCCTGAGGTACAGGGTCTCCAGTTTTAGCTGTGGCTCACCAGTCAGCCTGCTGGACCACTTTATGATCCGACAGAATTGACTCGATAAAAGCACGATAAAACATGATCATCATGGTTTTGTCAATGTTAAAATAGGACAGTTTCCTAAGACAATACAAACGCTGGTGCCCCCTTTTGCACACAGCTTCACAGTTTGGATCAGAGCTCAATTTTGAGTCAATAATTGTCCCGAGATATTTGTATGATTGCACAAATTCTACTTTCTGATTCTGGATTGTTAAAGGAGAGGTGTCATGGCCATTTCCACTGATCATAATTCCATTGTTGAGGTATACTAAAATAGAAAAATACTGTGCAATTTTCCAAACTCACATTGGTTTCGCATACAGCATCTCTGTAAAGTATGTGTATTCAGCAGTACTCACTTTCTCCACTAAACGGCTCGTTGCAGCTCTTGCCCCCCCCCCCCCCCCTCCCTGTGAGCACAGTGTGCTCCGATTGGTCGGGACCAGTCGGGACGTTGTGAATCGCGCTGAGCTCCGTGGAGGTGTTGTTTCCTTGTTTAGCGATACACAGCGAAACACAGCCAAACTCAACCTGAGCACACACAAAGTCACAGCCGAAGTAAAAACAATAAGTGTGGCTTGATATTGAGTAAGAAAAAGGTTGATAAACGCTATGAGAATGGGTCTGCAGAGAGAATGGGTCTGCAGAGAGAATGGGTCTGCAGAGAGAATGGGTCTGCAGAGAGAATGGGTCTGCAGAGAGAATGTCGCCGCGATCCCAACTGTCTGTTATCAGCCTGCAGCCAGGGAGGAGAAATCAGCAGAGCTGCCTGCACTGAGTGAGTGTGTGAGGAAGTCGTGGATTGGTCAATTTGGACCAATCAGCGGGGGCTTAACGTAACGGCTCCGCGGACACAACGTAACGGCTCCACGGATTGGCCCATTTGGTTCCGGCTACCGCATGACCATATCGCGTCATAGTTCTGGGCGTGGCCACTGGGTGTTCACACGTCACAATGTCCAGG